TTGTAACAACATTAACCAGCAGATGGATACCACAAGAAGCAATAAAGTGTGCAGACTTCAGGGCTTGTCTTCTTCAAAAAGTCAAAGGATTCTCAAAATAATTAAGCATATTGTGAAGAGAAACCTTGATATACATGTTAGCAGGAAAAGAACATTTAAATGAAGACCAGATCCATTAACATGGCTATCAAACAGCAGCTAAGAGTAGTGTCAGACAAGTCCATAGAACAGAGCCCTCTAAAATTTATTACAGGCAGTCCTCAGACTTGCAACACAATTGGTTCCTGAAAACTGTGGCTCAAGTCAAAACACTGCAACTCAGAACCGATTTTCCCATAGAAACAGTGTTATAAATGGAGAATAGTTTCTTTATGAAGGTTAACATAGTTGCATCCAGCTGGTAAGTCTGTTGTGAGGAGCAGGGAGGGAAGGGTGTGTGTGTGTGTGTGTGTGTGTGTGTGTGTGTGTGTGTGTGTGTGTGTGTGTGTGTGTGTGTGTGTGTGTGTGTGTGTGTGTGTGTGTGTGTGTGTTGGGAGGGGGGCAGATCAACCAGTGCCCCTGCAGCAAAGGAGGAATTGGGGCTGGGACAAGTGCTGCCCAGGGAGGGGGTAGGGCAACTTGCACCGCTGGTCCAGGAGCTGCTCATGTGGCAGCTTGCCTGGCAGCTCTCGCCGTTGCTCCCATTGCTAGTTCAGGAGGGCATGGGTCAGGGGGGTGTGCCCCAGGATCTGTGCAGGGCAGGCAGGGCCAGGGCTGCAACAGGCTGCGCTCCAGGCGGAAGGCAAAAGGCTCTAGGAATGGGGGCTATGTCCTACTGTCGCTTGCCTAGCTGGTGCAGGGCTGGCGCAAGACTGAGCCGCTGCACTGCCTCCAGACAAGCTATGTGCAGCGGCAGGAGCCAGCCAGGCCTCCCCACACCTCCCAGACAAGCAGCAGCTTTGCCCCGGCTGGGTGAGCAGTAGCAGGGCATGTGCCACTCAAAAACTCACTGCAACCCCCCCAAATAGCCCCCACTCTGCTGCCTGCTCCACCCCAGTCCAGAGGCACATGCCCCTCTATGCCCTGCTGCCACTCACCCAGCCAGGGCGAAGCCGCTGCTCGTCTGGGAAGTGCAGCAAGACCAGGCTGGCTCTTGCCGCTGCGTGCTGCTTGTCTGGCTGGGTAAGTGGTGGGGGGGGGGCATAGCCCCCCGGTCCCAGAGCCTTCTGCCTTGCACCTGGAGCACAACCAGGCGCAGCCCTGGCCCCGCAAACCCCACACAGATCCTGGGGTACGCCCCACATCCCACGCCCTCCTGGACTGGCAGCAGCGGCAAGAGCTATCGGACAAGTTGCCACACGAGCAGCTCCCAGACCGGTGACTCACAGTGGCGTCACTTGCTCCACCCCGTCCCTGGGCAGCGCTTGCCTCAGCCTGGGTCCCAGCCCAGCCCCAATACCTCCCCCGCTGTGGGGGGCATTGATCTGCCCTCCCACATCCCTTCCCTCCCCCGCACCACAACAGACCTACCAGCTGGACACAGCTATGTTGACCGTTGTAAAGGCAAAACCAACATGGGAACCTCGACACAGGGTGTCAATTTACAAATGTCGTAAATGCCGTTTGTCGTAACTCCAAAAGTCGTAAATTGAGGACTGCCTCCATGTGTGAATCAAGTCAACACGTCCTGAAACTCAGTCACCATGATCTTCAGTCTCAGTATTTTTTTAGCCAGCAGAAAAATGACCTTTCAACTAAAAAGCTGAAGCCCACAGCAATCAAGCAGGTAAAAAGTATTTTCATTAAATATGTTGATCTTTAAGGAGATCTTTCAAAAACATCATGTCTTGAAAGAATATGACAACATAGATCTGCAGAGGTATTGATCAGTGTGCAAAATGCCAGAGAGCTCATGGACATACATTTGTCCGCACTGATAGTAATCCTTCTGTCCAAATCAGAAAATATATGCAAAGGATCTACTACACCTTTTTTTCACCAGTTCATTCAACACATGATGCATATCTATGGCAAACTCCTAGACTGGGGTTCTTGGCACAGAGACCTCTCACTAGCAACTCTTATATTTCCATTTCTTATTGGTTGTAACTCAAGACCAGCCAACAGTTCCTGTAACAGATATTTTCAATCATGGTTTTCCACACAAGTGACATATTTGGAAGCAGGAAAGTCTTCTGGCAAGTCGGAGTTCAGAAAGCAGCTTTCATCACCTAGAACTGCACAGGCAGACAGGAAACTGTGAGTGTGATAGTTAGTGTTACCTGAAGCAGTGATACTGGGCAAGAACAAAGCTGTCTGTACTCATATTCCCATTAGAAGAGGTACCAGCAGCAGCAAGGCCAGGGGGTTTTATACTGACTGTCAGGCTAAGAATACTGGGCTAGCCACAAGAAGAGTTCCAAATACGCTAAGAATTCCCAACTTCAGTGATGCAGAGTAAGAGAACTGTCTTAAAGTGTGTAATGTATGCTCTGTGCCCTTACAAACGGTCAAGAGTGATCAAGCCAGGTTATGAAGTGTACCTAGAATCAAACACATGCCTGTTTCCACTTAAAACAGAGAAAGACTTCATTTCACCCAATGTGCCACACTTCAGCATCACTAAGTAGCAAACATTTGGTGAAACCTTCTCTCTCATAATGATGCAAGATCTTTCACTGGCAAAGCAACACAACTAGTTATAATGGAAGACTGGTCTGCCCCAATGCCTTATACTCAGTTGTCTTGGACAACTGTCTTGAGCTTCAAGTGCCTGCCTTATTAATTGTTCTAGAAGGACCAATTTTGGACTTAAATTTCCTAAAGAACCTCAAGAAATACTTATAGGCCCATCATACTTTCTTCTGTGCCTAAAATAGCACCTGCAAACATAATTAACAAAGCTACATAATAAGAATGAACTTTGATGGACGTGACAGCATACAGAGGAGACAAAACAGCTGTTAGGGAGGTTCAATTCCTTAGGCAGGCTCCTTTCTCAATTTTAGTAAAGGTAGAGATGACTGGGCTACATGAAGTGCAGCAGTTAGGCCAGGGTGGTGCACAACAGCCAGCAGGGCCCAGCCTGTAAGGTTTCCACTGCTGCTCTTTTAACTCCTCAGAAAACAAGGGGGATTCAATTAGTCTTGTGTTAAAGACCTGAGACCCAGGAGTGAGAGCCATGTTGAGACAGGGTCTTTTCAAGAATTACTGTTCATAAGTAGTAAAAAGATGGAAACAATTACTGTATTTACTTGAATATAGGATGAGGTTCCCCTCCCATCAATCAGCATGGGAAAAAAAGCCTCTTGTCTTTTATTTGCGCAAAAGGAAACCTCATTAAATAAGTTATCATTAAACTGCTTCCAAAAGCAGCGTGCGTTCAATAATGGAAACCAACAACGAAGCTAATTAAATAAAACACATGGCCCATACTGTGCCAGCATAATGATGGAAACCTTTTTTTATTATTATTATTAAATGCAACATTTTATTAAAAACAAAACCTCTTATATTTACAAATATCAAACATTATATCATCCAACAAAGCCTCATAACATATTAACTCCTCCTCATCTCTTAACAGTTTACAATAACATTATCTCATTCCACAACTATCCCCCTTCCTAGCCTCCCCTCTCTCTCGCCTCACTATCTCAGGCACTCCCTCAAGTGAAATACATATTTTCATTTACCTTTCCTCTACATCTCCTCCCTCTTACTCTCATCTTCCTCCTCCTCATCCCTTTACACGTAATATCTGAGCTCAAAGAGGGCTAGCTGTAAACATTCTTTCATAGTAAAATCCATTCCCTTCATGATGAGAAAGTTCCTCACTTTCCACAGTGCTGCATTAACAAAGATCACCCATGCCTGTACCTTCCCTTTTTCCTGCCCTTTCTTAACCAGCCCATAAATTTTGAAAATGATGCATCTCATCATTCACTTCTAAAATTTGTAAAAATCTCTGTGCTCTCCTCCAAACCTTCTGTGCAAAGCTGCATTCCCAAAATACATGGGCCACCGATTCTTCCCCCGCACACTTCTCCCGTGGGCATTTTCCTGTTTTTCCCAAACGCCACCCTACATTCCATCTCCTACTGTTAAAACCTTCCTCACCATTCTCCACAACAGCTCTACATGTTCCCCTTTTAAATCTTCCCCCGTTACCCTTCTCTCCACACTCACCTTGCTTGATGCTCCAACAAATCACTTCAGTTAGTTTCTTTTCCCTCTTATTTCCTTCAAAACCCTTCCCTTTCCTTTCAAACCTTGTATCCCCAGCCCTTCAAAACCTCATGCTTTAATACAATTTTCTGCTCTCCCATAATATATTAACAATGTCCAACCCCACTTCCCCTTTCACCCTGTCCCATATAGGCCCATCCTCCACAACCATTTCCTCACCCAAAATCTGCAAAAATTTCCCACGTTCCCGCTTCCTTCTGATGCTTCCCTCATTACCATTCTAACAAAGTGTGTGTAGATAAAAGTTTTTCAAATGTAGATAGAAGTGTTTCAAATTTGCACCTCACTCCCACGTGCTCAGGAAGAGCAGGACCTGATAACAAGGGTGGGTGGGAACAGGCTGCAGGGGGAAGAAGTTGCGGGGGAGAGAGCAAGAAGGGCACCTGACCCCCCACCTCCCCAGATACATTTTCCCTGCTGTAGGAGTGGGAAGAGATTAAATTCAAGGCAAACCTGCAATAAATAGATTTTATACCTGGAAAATTATAACATGTTTATACATTTTCCATATACAGAACCTAATTGTTCGGGGGTCATCTTCTACTCAGTGTCGCCTTATATCTGAGTACGTACAGCAAGATCTTTTACCACCAATACATTTAGAAACAAATCTCTTTTTTAAAAGCACTTGTTTCAAAAGAAAACGAAACAAACCTGCTTTGATTCCTTTCTAGGAGACATTCATTTAGATGTCTGAAGCATTCGTTTGAATATTTTTCATAAGCTTTCCTTTAATTACTACAGTATGTTTCTAGTATGTATTTATTCAGTACCTGTCTGGTGATCGTCTTGACCAACGTCTTCTGTCAGATTCTGCAAGACATTTTGATTAATGCAATTAAAGGATACGATTGCTTGGCTGTTCAGAATTTAAGCACTACTTGATAGGCCATTTCATTTTTATAAATTTAGTTAAGGTTACGTTAAATGTTTCTAGTCTGGCCACATACTGACATTCAGTTTCTACTGGAAGAGTCACTGCCTTCCCAGTAGAAACCATGAGCGCACAGATGTTCAGGATTTTTCTCCCGGAACAAAAATGGCTGCCCTGGGAGAAAAACAACGAGGGAAGAACTACGGTTAAAATCACTCAGGAGAATTTCTCCTGGGACACTAAACATGTATACACTTTCCCTTCTGAGAGAAGCTGCATAATAGTCCTCCAGCATCCCAGGGTATTTTGTTTCTACCCCCTCTCCCACAGAGGAAGTCTGTCACTCAGAATACACTGTATTGCTCTAGCTGAGCAGGGAACAGAACATACTCCCTGCACAATCCCCACATATTGTGCTGCAGGGAGACACAGGCTGACCTTGAGCAGTCTAGGGTCAGCCAAGCAGGTCTGCCCTGTGCACTAGTGCCGTCTATCTCCAGGCAGATGGAGAGAGCCTGCAGAGCATGCTGAGATGTGTGCACAAGGGCCCCCTGGCTCTGCAACATCCACACTGCAAGCTCTCTGCTCCAGTGCTTGAATGTCTGTTCAAGTTTCCAGTTAAGTTTTTCTACCAGGAAAACAAACTTAGGAAAATTCTTCCACATAATTTACATGTGTGTACGCAGACTCCATTTTCAAGTTGTTCTGTATTTTTTGTAACTACAACCTTATGAGATTAAGCTTTAAAATATTAAAGAAAATTACCCTTGGTACATTCCGAGCCTAGAACATTTAATCAAACACTATTCAGCTAGTTTAGAGAGAGAGCGAGAGCGCGAGCTCATTATAAAAATATCTACAATGCTGTTTTAAATTTCTCTAGTGCTGAAAGAGTTACTAGCTAGCTTTGAAAAAAAGATTAAATACGATACAAAAATAACTCCAGTTTAGCAGAATTAGCATTATGTGTTCCTAGGAAAACTAATAAAATGGACTAAATTATGAGCCCTTGAGAAAAACTCTAATCTGAACACAAATTTTGAAAAAACTCATGAAGTGAGCAGCTGAAAAAGGTTATGCTGTTCATGGATCCACAGCTAGCTACAATGCAGAATTGAAAGTTTAGTGATTACGCACAACAAATGAGACAAGCATCTTGAAGAATCTGACAGAGCTGAAAGCTGTAGACACAAGCACTATGCATACACCACAGTATATGTGAAAGCTTGTGTGGAACCTGTTCATGAGTCAACAGCTCCACTGAACACAGCTCAACTTAATTCCAACTCCTTGGCTAAGTACACACATTCAAAAAGCCTAAGCCTAAATTGATTCAATCTTTGCAGGTTAGTCTAACCTGCATAGATTGAACCAATTTGCAAGTGAACAGGGATTCACTTTTGATTCCGGAAATGCAGCCACATGCCTGTACTGGCTCAGGCCAGGGGGCACTAGAGCAAGCCCTTTCTTCCTTTCAGCAGCAGCCACAACAGAGGCTGGAGGGAAGCTGATGGGGGGTGGGCCACTGAGTATGATTGGGGAGGGGTTTAAACCCCCACCCTGGCCTGCAGGGACCCCAGCCAGGGTGTGCCAGGAGGGGAAAGGGGGAAAGCAGCCCTTCCCAGAGCAGGTTTGTCCCGGAGTAGAGGGCATGACCAGATACCAGCCAGGGGAGCCTCAGGCAAAGCTGGGGGAAGAAGGGGGATTAAACTCCCATCTCCCCTCTCTCCCAGCAGCACAGGGACCCCAACCAGGGTCTGCCCAGCGTTCCACCCTGCTGGCTGCTTAAGCAGTCGGGGGCATGGCCAGAGCTGGGCAGGGCAGCAGCCTCAAGTAAAGTGGGAGCAGAAAGGAGGATTAAACTCCCCTCACAGGCACAGGCACCTCAGCTGGCATCTGCCTGGCTTTCCAACCTGCTGGCCGCTTGCACGGTGAGGGGCATTGCCACAGCCGGCTGGCATGGCCCCACCATTGCCTGCCTCGCCTGGGGCTGGGGCTGGGACTGTAGGGTCCCGCAGGTGCTGCTGAAGGTAGGTGCGGTGGGGCTGGCCTGGGCTGGGCTGTGGGGGCAGGGCCCTTCCCAGCCAGCTGTGGCTTGACCTGGGACTGCAGGAGCTGGGCACCTGGATTGCTCCTGGCTCTCCACACCCAGGCTGGGCTGGGCTGGGCTGGGCTGGGCTGGGCTGGGCTGTCCTGGAGCCACAGCCAGCTGGGAAAGCCCCTGCCCCCTCAGACCAACCCAACCTGGGCTGGTCCCTCCACACCCACCCTCAACAGCACCTGCAGCCAGCCTGGTTCAGCCCCAGGTGAGGCAGGCTGATAGCAGGGCAAGACCCTTCCCAGCTGGCTGCAGCTTGGTGACAGCCCGGCCTGGAACACGTGGGCAACAGCTGGCTGGGTAGCAGCATGGAGGTGATGCCTCTGCAGCTGCAGGTGGGCACCCCAGCAGCTGGACTGGCTGCATGGGACAAGTCCTTCATGCCCACAGCTACCTGGGCTGGCTCAGAGGTGCCAGTGGGCCTGGAGCCTGGCAGTTGACTGCTGTGGGGGCTCATTCCTGCAACCACTGCCACACCCCCTGCACTGTGCCTGCTCCTCCATCTCATGTAGCAGCTACAAACAGATAAGCAAGCACCATGCAGGGGGCATGGCGGCAGGAACATGAGCTTGCATGATGGACAGCAGCCAGGCACGGGGGCGGGCGGGATCCATCCCTCCCTGCCCCTTCACCTTCATCTTAGGGGGCCATGCTGGCAGGCATCTGGCCACAGTCCCACCCTCGCTCTGGTTAAACAGAGGGGCAGGGCCAGCCCTGCTCTCTGGAGCAGACAGCACAGCACAGCCTAGAGTTGAAAAGCATGCTGGGATGCTGGAAGACTGATTTAACTTAAACCAGGAAGGGGTCTGGGACAAAAGTTCCATAAACCAATTTGACCCAAATCAGTTAAGCCTGATACTACATTCAACCAAGTTTATCTTTAACCAGTTTCAGCCATTTTGAAACTGGGTTATGTGCACTAAATTTCTGTTCTGTTACAGGTTTAGAACAGTTTCTGGTCACTTAAAACAATTCGTGTGCAACTGCTGTCCCTGCCCCTTGTGCATACACAAGCAACCTTCACTGCCACTGCCCATCTTTTGACTGTTTAGTTGTAAAACCTGTGAACTTCCTTTTTCTTAATTTGCCCATCATCCCGTCTCCCTAAAAAATTCTTTGAAGTGTAATAATCTAAAGATTTCAAAAGACAAATAAATGCATGCTAGAATAAATAACTAATTAAATTAAGAAATGACATTACCAGCTTATTCAGAGTGTGGTAGATCTTGTGAATATTTGCCAGTGTTGACAGATGAGAATTCAGCTGAAAATCTAAAAGGGGGGAAAATGATTAGTTTTGTCTCTTACAGTTTCTATAGCTCTAAACAAGATTTAATATATTCATGTTGTTTTAAAAAAAAAAAACAACATCACCACAAAGCTACGTTGTACAAGCCGAGTTAATACTATTATTCATTGCCTTTATTCCCATCACGGTCTGGGAATTAGTAATAACAACTTACAAAAAATAAATTTTCTTCAGGTATATTCCTGGATCAACCCTACTAAATACAAAATTAATTGCATGCTTTTGAGTATTGTGCAAGATTCTTAATATGTGTTTGTTTTAAAATTCTTCCCATTCACAAAGGTACATCTGAGGCTCATTCAGAAATAAGTAAATAGATTCTTTTTCCCCCAACACATCCAAAGTCAAATACTGCTGCTAAAATACAACCAAGTTAGGGTGCAAAGCTAGTAGAAGTTGAAGGGTTAAGTACAGTCTAGGCACTGGGCATGCAATCTGACAAATACATCACTAAGAGTAGGCTCAGCCAGGGTTCTCAATCCCCGGGCTAGGGCCTGGTGCCAGGCTGTGGCAGGTTAGCTGTCGGACCACAAGTGGCAGCAGACCGGCAAACCGCGGCCCCACAGCGCCAGGTGAAGAGGCCACAGCTCCTTCTGCAGGGCCTGCGGCAGCGCAGGATTTGGCCCACCTCCTGCCCAAGGGGTGGGATATCCTTACCTATTTTCCAGCCAGAAATTCCGGCCGCAGTCAGCTGTGACTGCTGGGCCGCGGTTTGCCAGGCCATGGCATAAAAACTTCAGGAACCCCTCAGCTAAACAAACATTTGTCTGGGATACTTTGGATAGGAATGAACCTAACCTGAGGAGGGGACTGGACCACATAACTTCTTGAGTCTCTTACAGCCCTATTTGTCTGTAAACACTACTGAATATGGTTATTACTACAGTAAGGTTTCCTATGAAATTCAATAGAACTATGCATGGTAGTCTACATTTGCATGATCAAGCCTTACCTGAAGAAACAGCTAACCCTATAAACAGAACATTCCTCCACAAAATTTTTCTTGGCAGGGCCCTATATGCCTAGCTGATACTAGTCATTAGATCACAACATTCCAAAGTGGGAATATTATTCTCTGACCAGATGCTAAAACAAAATGCAAGTGAAAAACATAGTCCTCACACCTCCACTTCAGTATTGTAAACAGATTCTCCAAACAAACACTACACAAAGCAGAGTTTGAGGGTAGACTATACAAGGTATTCAAATTAAGACTACACTAAAAATACAGCACAATTCAGATTTTTTTCATATAGAACAACGCTGCTGTAAACAAATATTAACAAAATGTATTCACAACTACAGGAATACCTTTTAGAGATACCAGTTTGGATTCTCTCATCGTAGTGGATTAAACATTAAAGAATCATAGACCCCTGGCAGACATAATATTCACCATGCCTTAGGTGTGTCACGTGATAAACTAACATACCAACTGACCACATTAAAATTATTGCGAGATACTTCCACGTCGCAAAGGGCCCTAGATGACATTAATGTAGTCACACAATTAGGATCTGATTAATTTTATCCCAGATACCAAAATTGTCCTGCTAGCATTTGTAAGATCCCAATTACAGAACTGCTGGCGCACAGTCTCCAATGCTGGGCTGCCCACACATCCAGACCTTTAAAAGGCACACTTGCAGTTGGAGATCCAAGCTCCAGTGCACACTGCCAGCTGCAGCCCACCCTTTAAGTGTCTGGGCTTTCAGACCCTGAATCATACGTTAAACTTGGGGAGCTCCCGAATCCCCCACTGCCTAGGGGATACTTCTGTGCCACAAAGAAATTGCTGTAAAATGAGTAGCTCCTTTGTGGCTTATCTGCCATTTTTAACTGGGTTTAAACAGGTTTAATGTCTGCTCTTACGATTTTTCACATGATACTCTCAAAGCCCTGGCTGGAATGATCTAGTTCGGGATGGTCCTGCTTTGAGCAGGGGGTTGGACTAGATGACCTCCTGAGGTCCCCTTCAACCCTAATTTTCTATGATTGTATAATGCTTGATAAACATGTCTGCCAGGGATCATAAAATGTATCTTATATCTAAAGGGAATCACTTTGTTGAGCTGTAAATTTGGCTTCACATCAACCCTGCTGCAGCTTAATTTGAGGACAGACATCTTGCCACCAATTTATCAGTTTGGGCTAGTTTGATTCTTATTATACCAAACTAAATTAAGCCCATTTTTTGTTAGTCAGAACCAAAATTGTGCTCTGCCAGCAAAGAAAGAAAAAGAAAAGAAAAAAGAAACCCTTACAGCAATAACCTATTTAAAATGGTAATTTTGAAAGTAATCATTTAGAGCATTGAAAAGATATAACAAGGGTCAGAAGAACCTCCAGAATGATTACATTATGAATATGTAGTACTGGAAGAACAGAATTTCCCAAATTCAGAATTTGGGGCACAATAAGAGAGAACTAGAGAATTACCAGCTGTGATGTAAGAATATACAATTCAGGTGTTGTGTCTGTAGTTTAATAAAAAAAAACAACCCATAAAAATGCCCCAAAACATTGCCTGAATTAAGACCCAGTTATTAATCCTCTTATACAGTTACCATTAATCCAATAATCATTTGGGAGCAAAGAAATCTCATGAAGTTCAACAAGGACAAGTGCAAAGTTCCGCACTTGGCACAGAACAATCGCATGCACTAGTACAGACATGGGACCAAACTGGTTAAGCAGCAGCTCTACAGAAAAGGGCCTGGGGGTTACAGTGGACAATAAGTTGAATATGAGCCAACAGTGTGCCCTTGTTGCCAAGAAGGCTAATGGCATACTGGGCTGCATTGGTAGGAGTGTTGCCAGCAGATCGAAGGAAGTGATTATTCCCCTCTATTCAGCACTGGTGAGGCCACATCTAGAGTACTGTGCTGTTTTGGGCTCCCCCCCCACCCAACAACAGAAAGGAGTGGACAAATTGGAGAGAGTCTAGCAGAGGGTGACAAAAATGGTGAGGTAGTTGGGGGACATGATTTAGAAGAGGCTGAGCAAACTGGGCTTATTTAATCTGCAGAAGAGAAAACTAAGGGGGGATTTAATAGCAGCCTTCAACTGCCTGAAGGGTGCTTCCAAAGAGGATGAAGCTAGACCAGGGGTGGGCAAAATGCGGCCCGGGGGCCGGATGTGGCCTGCCAGGCCATTCTATCTGGTCCGTGGGGCCCCTTAAAACTTAGATAGTTAATATTTATCTGCCCCTGGATGCCTGCCGTGTGGCCCTTGATGGCTTGCCAAAACTCAGTAAGCGGCCCTCCGCCTGAAATAATTGCCCGCCCGAGCTAGACTGTTCTCAGCGGCGGCAGATGACAGAACAAGGAGCAATTGTCTCAAATTGCAGTAAGAGAAGTTTAGGTTAGATATTAGAAAAAAAAAAAACTCACTAGGAGGGTAGTAAAACACTGGAACAGGTTACCCAGAGAGGTTGTGGACTCTCCATCTTTGGAGGTTTTAAAACCTGGCTACAACTTGGCTGGGATGATGTAGTTGTGGATGGTCCTGTTTTGAGCAGGCAGTTGGACTAGATGACCTCCTGAGGTCCCTTCCAACCCTAATTTTCTATGATTCACAATATAAATGAAAAGAAAATCTATAAAATAAAGGTAAAGAAGCTACATAATGTCAAGATTTGTTGAATGCCCTTCACCAACTACTTGACAATCATTATGAGGAGATATTTGATGTTTCCATACAAAGCACATAATATTTAAGGTACAAGTCATTCTGTATCTCCAAGACCTCCTTAAGCAAAAGTGAACAAAGGTCAAACAAAAGCTAGACTGAATAAAATAGATAGCAGAATTCTATAATATGTGGGTGAAACATCCAAATTTTAGGCATGTGACTTAAGAAGTGAATCAATCTTCTTCCAGTGTGGCTGCTCTTGCAATTCTTCTGGGAGACTAGAGACCCGAGATGTTGCCAAACTACCTGTGCACCTGCAATATCAATTTAGTTCTGGCTGTCAAAAAATATCTTCTTTGGGCTTCAACAAAGAAAAAAAAAGGCCAAAAGGAATTAATTTGACAAAACTGTGAGAATTGGAAGATGTCAGAAGTTGAAACCAAATATAACTCCTGGATATACCACAGTCTCACTGTAATCTAATAGTCTTATTTAAAATAAATTAGTAACTGAAAGTCTGAAAGCCTCCATTAAAATATTTAGAATATTCATCTGGCCAAGTGCGAAAAAATCTATATCCGATACTCACAGCTCCTAACAAATTAATTTAAACTGAATAAGGGCCACATCTAACCTTTATATTTAAAAAAAACCCATCAAAATATTATTTGGGGATTCTTTTACATGCCTATTTATTTACAAATCTAGAATAGATAGAAGGCTCATCTGAATACTGTGCGGGCCGGCTCCCGATCTCAGGGGCGAGCCGGGCCCGTCTTTGTGCACACAGGCTGTGGCCAGCAGCCCGGGCACGCAGGGCCAGAGAAAACCGTGGCGCGGTATGGTACGCTCGAGCTAGAATCAGTCACGGAGGCATAATGGTTGATTGAAAAGATTATTTACTTACACCCAAGGTGGTTGCGGTGTAGGCTGGTCAGCTTTCCAGGCGACGGGGAGAGGCTAGAGGTTGTGCGCCTCGGAGTTGCTAAGGCTCCGAGGGCTCGGAAATTAGGTCCCGCGGAGTTGTTGAAGCTCCGTGGGTTCGACAAATTAAACCTATGTTGCCCTCTTAAGGAAAAAGCTGGGTTCGTATGGATCAGCAGCGCTTAGAGATCCTCACGCTCCTTTCCCGAACTCCACGTGCTTTCTCTCTCTCCGACTTGGGCGGAAACTACCCAAGCCTTTTGTACAGCTAGCAAGCCAATAGCTAGCCACCATGTGTGCCTATATTAAGATTGGCCAATAATGTGGCGGAAATCTTAAAACAAATGGCGGGAACTTCTTTGTACCGTGCATCACTATAATGCAAAAGAAACGCACGATGCAAAGA